GTAAGGGCCATACCAGTCAACTTGTGAAGCGGAGTATACATCTCATGACCAGGTATCGCCACCCCAGGTTTAAAGCCTAAACCACGTATAAACTCATTCCAACGCCCTTGGCATGAGAAGCTCTAGTTCTCAGAATGGTTTGTGTGAAGGTCCATGCCCTCTATGCATCTAAACGGTTCATGGGTTTTCTAGTTGAAGGTCTAGGAGTTCAGGACTATCTAATCTCTACCAGCCTTCCTTTTTTTCCGTTTGACAAAATTTACCTCCCATGGATGCAGCTTAAGGCTCCAAGTCCAGCTACAGTAGCAGGTCAGGTCAAGGCACTGACAGGACACAGAGACTCGGAGCATTCGGAGCCTTGGGTTTTAAGCCTTCAAACTGACTCTGAGGAAGTCTCAAGTCCTGCAGCCACTGCCCACGATAGACCGTGAGGCCATGCTTGTGGTAGTAGGTGCCTGGCCACGAAAGGTTGCAACGAAACTCACACTGAACCCAAACCCGAAACCTTGAACCCTGAACCCTACTCCTCAAACCGTAAATAAGCTCCTGCCCTGGAGAAAGACGAAGATCTCAAAGCCAGCAGCGTCTGCTGAAGCTGCAGGGCACCGACTGGGTTCCAGAAGGTTCAGAAGGTCACTGCTTCGGAACTTCGGGAGTCGGAGAAGAACAGGGAGTACTGTATTGGTTACCGTATTAACACGATTTTGCTGGGACGGTTCATTCCTTTTTGGACTCCTTAAGGGACCTGCATGATGAGGATGCCTATGTTTGAGTAATGTGAGGCATTCTGCGAAGGAAGGAAACCGCCTATATCGAGCGTTACATCCCAAATCCCTAAATACGAAGCCCTCAACCTAACCAACCTCTTCACCCTAAAGCCGTCAACGGCACATCACCTGCAAAGTTTCGAAAGGCATCCGACATTTTCTCGATCATGTGGACAGTTCCCGAAAGCATCGCGAAGGGTTCTTCCGTGCGGAGCCCCGCAGAGAAAATACATAGAGAATACATGGGGTCAAGTACACTTGACTTTACGAACACTTGACTTTATGACATTTGACTTTACCACTTTA